AGGGTTTAGGCCACAGCTCAAATGGGTTTCCCCAACATCAGGTTTCTACATAAGGTTTCCTCCCTATATCAGCCCGGTATACGTAGTCCATGGTCTCCTTCCCGCCTGCTTTGGCCCATGAAGAGGCCCTTGTCTGGCCCTATGGGGACATGGACTACAAGCTGTCGGAGGGCCACGCCTGGGATGCCCGGAGGTTACTGGCCACGGGGTAGCACCACTTGCTTTACTAGTGGTAGGTGGGGAACGGAGGAATAAGGACATACGAACACTTGTAGGGGATTTGATAGGGACTGTTATTGGGACTCCTTTTGTTTTCCTCTGATCCTCATGGTCTGTTCCTGCGATGGGCAAAGGCAGCTGGCCCTGGCCGGAGACTGGTGCTACAATGGCCGTGTGGAGGGGGCCTGGCTTAGCGGCCATCATGCTGCTGCCAAGGTTCTAGAAGCCCTCCAAGGATAATGTGAAATCCTGAACTGAAGGTTGAGGTCCAATTATTGGGAACTTGTTTGGGAACTGAACTTCCCGGAAAGACACTGTTTACTCGATTGTATCACACTAGGGGCTGAAGATCGAGGCTTCAACTTCAGCTTTGTACAGTTGCTGCCACAGCTTAAAGCTAGGTGAGTGTGGGTCCACCAGTGGCCCATCTGTAGGGTTGCATGGACAAAGTTCTATGCAGATTGATTACGCGGTGATTACCCAGAATACACCATGGTGCATCAGGGCCGATAGCTACCCTATAAGAATATTAGATGAGCATTATAATATTCTTGTGAGTTCAAGTTTTGAGGCCCATACTGTACGCAGCCCCATGGCTTGGGTCTTCAGGACTTGATTCCAACCAAGAGTAGACTGAGTAGAAGCTTCACAATACAGTACCAAGCAGGCCAGTAGAAAGCATGCTATGTAGCTTGGTGAAGTTCTGAAGACTGGCTTCAATCTCCAGGTGGGGGTTTCCCAAAATTAGGGGTGCCGTTTTGGAGGTCCCTATAATAAGGACTAGAGTATTTTGGGGTCTATAATATTGGGGTCCCCTTATTTTGGGAACTACCAGGTATACGACCTGAGCATCACCGAGAATACTGTCCTCTACTCGGAGGCCGCCTTGTCCAAGCCGCGCAGGGCGCTGATTTAGCAAACCTTAGCCTTGCTTAGGGACTTTTTATGTTTAAGTATAGTATAACCTCTAGGAATTATCTGAAATAATTTCCTTATTAGTTGTCGAAGGAGACTACAGCTTGAACAGGTAGATCACCCTGTCCTTGGCTGGGCTTCACCTTTGCACTTTGACTTGCGTTGCAAAGACGCCGAGTCTTTCAGGCCTTTGCCTTCGTGGCCTTCTGCCACTTGCATCAGGCGCATCTTGCAGCTCTTAGATACTAATGCTCTTGCTGTGGGAAGGGCAACATATGTTGAGATCATAGAAGGACCAAAAAGGCTGCTACATAGGGACATAGATACGGGTCCTTGTAGCTGGCTGCTAGGTTGCGCGTAAAGGTGCAAAGGAGAGTTGCCGCGCACAAGCCCGGGTGGGTTGCTCGCAGCAAGCATAGGCACAGCCTTCACCAAATTGCTACTGTCATGGACCCATATTGTCAGATGCGTTGTAGGGTTGGAGTATCTAGCCAGATTTCAGCAGCGCCGTACATTACAGTGCTGTGATGACCGAACCATTTCGGCTGCTGCGCTTTGCGGGCTTGCGTGTCGAGGTCGACTTCATTGCGGAGTCGGGTGTTTACAAAGGCGTTCGGACCTCAAGATCGCAGCTGCCTAGCTGCTTGTCTATTCACTTTCTAATTCTTGTGTGGGGAGTGTGCATGAATTTCCGTCACTCTGACATCGTGGGATTTCATGGAGCTTTTGATTGTGCGGCAGGTGTCGTCTGAGATTTGGAGCCTTTTTGCCAAAGCTCAGCCCTCAACCCGGTCTCTTCGGCTTGCTTGCGAGGAGGTGGCCATGTCCAAGAATTTCAGGGAGTTCAACAACTGCTCACGAGAGAATTAGCTTGTGCTATCAGTGGTCCTCTTGTTAGGACTTTCAGCCTCATGCTTTCTACTTCCAATCGGATTCTAACAGCATTTTCGTCATTGCTGCAGCACCAAGCTGAGGAGGTGGTGGCTGTTGACATCTTCGTCACGCCAGAGGCCTGCGAACAGACTGCTCTCTGCTGGTCATTTCACAAGGGCTTCCGGTCCCATCAAAATTAGGAGGCCGTTTTTAGGGCGCAGATGATGGGAGTGGAGGACTGCCCTTAGCCCCGACCCGAAAAAGCAGGTACTCCAGAAGGAGGCAATTGGGGACCATAATGTTGAGAACCTGCCTCTTCTGCACCGCATTCTGGCTTGCATAAAGATTATAGCTGAAGGCTGTGCTGCAGAGACAATCTGCCAGCCACCACCGGACCAATGGACGGTAACAGTCGAAGACTGCTCCTTACATTTAGGGTTCTGGAGCGGCTGCAGAGAGAACAGGCTGAAGAGCGGCTTCAGCGCCGAAGCAACGTGGAGATACATACAGGCTGACTGTTCCCTTCATGTCCCTGGGTATGTCCAGAAGACAGGAAGATGCTGAAGAAACGGGTCCCAAGAAGCTTTTACGGGGTCCTGATCAAAAGGATTGTATGTCTTTGCGGGATATAGGGGGAACCCCAAGTTGAGAATCGCGCAACAGCTGCTTCTCTGGTCTGTCACAAGCCATGAGCCTCAAGCAATTTTCCGTCTGTGAACATCCTAATTAAATTAGGCACCCTGCGATGGGTGCCGTCTTTTCCTGTGAAGCGTGTTGTGGGCGAGGAAAACCTGTTGACAACTCTTTGTGCAATGAGGACGTTGTGGGCGACAATGCAGAGCCTTTAAGGGAACAAAGGAAGATCGATGCAAACCAACTGCAGCTCTTGCCAAAGTTCACCAGAGTTGCCATTGTCCTGGGCCACTCCGGCTTTGACTCAGGCGAACGCTAGCGGTGATTTCGCACGCTGGCAACCCTGGACCGTCACAACTTCGCTTCACTTCATTCTGTTGCTGCTGAAACCTGCCGATGTGCCAGGATGGCAAGCTTCAGACGATGCTCGCTCCACCTGCAGCATTTTCACGACGGCTTTATGAACACAAGCTGCCGCCTCTCTTCGATGGATGGAAGGTTTCCCTTAGCTTCTCTTCCAGCGTGATTTTGGGGCGTGAGGCACATGGCCTCCGCCCGCCATGCTATGCCTTTTGAGGGAATCCATCGTGGAACAGCCTCTCAAGTCCAAGCCCGGCCCAGCCAATGCGCGAGCACTGTAAATGATTGCGAGACTTCTGCAGGCTGTTAAGCGGCAAAAAGCTAAGCACTCTGCAAATGCTCGATTTGAAAGCTCATTTCTGTCAAAGTATGAACGGAAGAGCCACCCCAAGTCACCGCTGGTGTAACACGTCCTAGCCTAAGCATGAAGCGCACGGCCCAAGGCGGCCTAAGCAAACAAACAATAACATGCACGGTGACTTCAAGACTGAATCTCAGATCGCATCATATCTAAGTCCAGGGGCTAGAGAGGACCCATGGGCACTCCCCCGAAATGGGCTCCAATTTGCTTCGAAGCGTGTTCTGGTTCTGCTAGCTTGGCGTGTTTTGCACTGCTTGGTCCCCTGGATGTTGAATCGTCCTTGCCAGGGAATACATTGGGGGTTCCCAAACTTTGGGGTACCTTTTGGGGGCCCCTATAATGAGGACTAGTATTAGGGGGTCTATACTGGGGTCCCCCTATTCAAGGAAAGTACCACATGATATGAGGGGTGTTTCATATCAGCCTGCATAGCAGGATCAGCAGGAGATCATCCGATACTTCCTAAAACCTGGTCAGAGAACTGCTTGGGTTGGGACAAGAAGGCGTGGGTCCTCCTGTAACTAACTTCTCGCGATCGAACAGGAGATGGCCGGCAGTTGCTGCCGTAGCCTAAGGCGCTAGCTACTGCCATCTGATCTTTGCGGGGCAGGTGGCCTACATGTCTTTATCAGGGGGAAAACCAATCAGTCGCTGGAGCAGCGAATACTTTAAATAACTGATAGTGGCGGTGCCTGTCCTGTCCATGGATGCCGCACGCTTTTGGCTTCAGAGTTTTTTGACGATTTAGGGTTGGAGTTAGGATTCTTGGGGTTTCCCAGGAAGCTTCCCACAGCCTTGGAGACCTTTAGGAGACTCCCGGTACAAGGCCTTGCTTCAAAAGAGTGTCTTCTCTCGATTACACTCGACAAGTTTAGGATCCTCCGCTCCAGCAATGAGCTATCAGTTCCTGTAAATATCAAGCCGGTAAAGGCCCGAAGCTCACGTTAGCCAAATCCAGGATCACACATCAACAAATGCAGCCTTGCCATCTGAGCTATGAATAAGACAAGGCCGGGTAGCTTTGGAAAGTGACAAGCGGCTCAGCGGAATCGCAGGGTATACAGCAGAATGTATGCTATCATGAGGGCCGGGTATGTTTTCAAGTCTACCACTGCCAGCACCAAAAACAAGACGGTTACCAGGACTACTATCATTGCTTCTACTAGTAGCCCCATAGAGGGAGGGTTGTCACCGGTATCAACTAGTTTCTTTCTAGATGCCGTAACAATTGGGTCCATACTAAAAACCGGGACCAGACGCTTGACAACCCCCACATTGGATCGATGGGCAGTCGAAATACCTGTTAATTAATGTTTTGGTGTGACATGGAGTGACATTCCCTGTTGTTGTTTATGTGCACTGCCAACTATTTGGAAAATCCTGGAAACAATTGCAACAAGACCTGTAAACGCTAAGAACATTCCGAACATGGTCATGAAGCCAGCTGCAATCTAGGCCAAAGCTACTAGAGCGCCCTGGTAGAAGAGCCGCGGCGGGGTCCGCAGCATGTACCAGCCGGGGGTCATATAGGGATAATGGAAAATAAAATGGAAAATACTATAGAATTATAGGGTATATATAGGGGTTATATAGGTATAAGGGGAGTATTGGGAAGAAGTCTAGTTTTGAGTTGAGTGTGGCATCTAAGCTTGCCTGCATTTCTGCTGTTGTTCACGGTAATTCCGGTGTGTAGAGTTTAGGTGAATATAGAATCAGAACGGTTGCACCAGAAGCTCGAATGCACTTCGAAAACTTGCACTCCTCGTGGGAAACTGTCTTTGCCTTGCGGCTCTTGCCTCCTTTGCAGAAAGTGCGTCGGCGGCTGCTACGAGGGCACAGCTATACAGCTAGTTTTAGGGCATCTAAGGGCCGCCTACTTGACATTGGGGCGCACTCGAGCCGCCACAACAAAAGCAGCATGAACGGCAAGCGGCTGCAGGTCTTCATTGATGGGCCCAAAGGCGAGCTCGCGATCCACTTGGCCCTTAGCTTGGTGAAGCTGCCACAGGCCGGCTGCGGCAAGCGCAGTGGCGATCAGGGGTGCAGGATGGCGATTTCGGATGATGGGCCAAACTACCAGTAAGATCAGTAAGCGCAA